GTTCAAGAGATTGATCAGGAGCCTATACTCCCACCGTAGGAGCCGCAGCAGCCGAATCATTAACAGCAGGATGGCCTTGCTGATTTCTTCCCGGAGGGAAGCCTCAGCCACCAAGATTAAGCTTCACCAAGCTTTCATGTACTAGAGCCCGCCAATAGTCATCTGTAAGGGCATCTCCAACCGAAAACTTCATTTTTCACGGCAAAGTAACGCAAAACTCCAAAATGGCGCGGTGATGCTCCAATCGAACGCCATTTTAGGTGTTTTTGAGAAGGTAACGATCGCCCTCCCTTTCGCGCGTTTTTCCGGTTGAGAGCAAAAAATGGCGTGAGTGAACAGTGCGATGCCAATATTGGCGTCGCACTGTTCATCCGCGATGAAATGGCGTAAAAAATGGCGATCGGTTGGAGCAAAACAAGAATGGCAAACAAGTGTTTGTCGTTCGGTTGGAGATGCCCTAACAATATCCTTCCTTCCATGAGCCTTGAGGGAGGAAGGAGGAGACCTAGCGCCACCTCCCACCATCGTAGAGCTTCTCTCACTAGAAACAGAGAGAAAGAAGGAGTAGCGGGAAATGAAAGAACCTTCTAACTTTAACGCTCTTGTTACTTCAAATCAAACAGTTATTAAAAGACATCATAAAACTTTTTGAAATCTTTTAATGTATGTTGCACCGACACCGACACTGATACGGAACATGTCAATTCTTAAAAATACAGGATACGGGGTGCAGAAACAACATTATAATTTATAAATCATACAAAAAAATTAACAAAGCATTCAAAGCAGAATATTTGAAATTATAAAAAAAAAAATCAAAGCAACATTATTTGTAGCCTTGTAGGCTGTAGCTTATAATATCAAAATAAAAGTAAGCATAAAATGTCTAGTACAACAACAAAAGCATAAACATAAATTGTCTAGCACATGAGGTTTCAACTATTCAATAGAATGAAGGATATGATTAGCTTCTTCACTGGTTTGTCTTCGAACTTCTATATCACCTTTAATAAATATCATATCTTCTAATTCAGGCTCATCAAGTGAAAGATTAGCAATTTCTAATATTTTCATACCATCAAGAGACTCAAATCTATCTCAGAAATGAGGGAACCTTGCTTGCAACCATGGAAGTAAATACGACGCGTCATTTTTTGGATTTTTTTTTTGTTTTTCAATTGACACGTGTATCAGAAACGATGTGTACTTTTGAAATTAAATAGTATTTTAATTAGATACGATTTTGACATACCCGACATGTATCGGTTCCATATCGGAGGCGTATCTATGTATCGGTGTATCAAAAACAGCACACCTTCATAAATAGGTGTATCGGTGCAATTTAATTTTAATATAACCAGCAAGTGTTTTGATGGAGCTTTCCTATAAGTAATCAAAATCTTTAAAACATTAATGCTCTTAACCAAATGAGCAAACAATATTTTATTTTTCATTAGTTTTTTTGTTAAGAAAAAAGATGTAACAAAAGTATCGATTACTCATTGAAAAGAACCATCTAAGAACTTTTTAGCTATATCAGAAGGCCCTGCAACTTTTTCTATTTATCACACTAAAGACAAGTAGCTAATAAATTACAAAGTAAATATTAACTGATATTATGCTACATAATAAAAACAAAATAAAATAAGTATATAATGCTTGATAATGGTTAATTACTGGTAGCAAAATATATTTAGCAAATAGTTTTTGTCATGAAATTTGTCACAATAATTTGCATTTGATAGCTCATCAAAATCAGATATGTGCATGTCTCTAATATGTGCTCAATAAATAGTCTTCATTTAAGTGATTGATAATATACAAATAAAATTAAAATAATAAACAATGCATTTTTGTAATGAGGAAATAGAAAAAAAAAATATCTTGATCCAATTTTTGTTCAAGCTTTGAAATATTTCTTGAACCTCAAAACTCTTTCATAAATTTGCAAGAAAATACTTTCAAGATACTAATTAATATGTTTATAAACAATTTTTTTAATGATAAGAATATTATGGTGCATAATTTCTAGTTCCATGTATTAAAAGATAGGATCATTTTCCAATATTTGCTTATTATATGATGTTCTCAAGCAAACTTTCTATGTTTCTCTTAATTAATGAATCAAATCTCTAATGTTTTTTAAACTAAACTAATTTGCATTAAATAACTTCTCTTATTCATATTTTATAACTATGAAAATTTTTCTCATGTTTAGCTTTACATATAGCCATTGTTATTATTAGGATATAAGATTCAAATATATTAAGTATGCCCTTAGTTGTTAGAATATTTACCTGTATGCCATTCCCTGTACTTTGTTCTTTAAATAGGATACTGTTACCGAGCTAAATCAAGAAATAAGAATTCCATTTCTATCTTCCCTGTTTCTCTCTGTCTCTATGTTTCTACATGGTATCAGCGAAGGTTCAATCCTAAGTGTCATTACATGGCAGAAATTTCGTCGGCGACGCATTCCGCAGCTACTCCAATTCCGATCATATCACCGTCTCTCAAATTCGTTATCTCTCATCTCAAGACTCTCGTCCCTAATAAATTATCTACAAAAAACTACCCCATCTGGCGAAGTCAGATATTTAAGCTGCTTCGGGCGAATGGATTTCATCAATTTCTTGAATCTCCCAATTCTCAATCGTCGTCATCTTCAACGACTACAACGACAGCTCCGGTGCAAGATCATCTATCTTCAGATCAACTGGCAATTGATCGAAACTTAGCAACGGTGATTTGCTCCACCGTTTCGTCCTCCATCTTGCCATACATACTGCATCTTGATTACACCTACGAAATCTGGCAAGTTCTTGAAACAAGATTTCAATCATCAAATCGTTCCAAAGTGATACAACTCAAGAACGAGCTTCACCACATCTCCATGGGTAATATGTCTATGAGTCAGTATCTTACCGAGATCAAGAAACTGGTAGATCAGATTGCCTCCGCCGGCTCTACAATAGACAATGAAGATATAATTATGTATATCTTGAACGAACTACCACCACGTATCAATCGTTCAAGACATCGATTAGGACTATGCTTCACCCAATCAGCCTCGACAATCTGTATGCTTTACTCATAAGTGAAGAAATCCACATACAAGCCGACGCATCAAGAATACCAGTTTCGACTGACTCACAGACGACTCTGTACACAAGACGAGGAAGAGGCCGTAGAGGCCGTGGAAGACAAGCTCCAAACCACAACTCTACAAACCGTTCAGCTCCATCATCATCGATCACAAGTCAGATATGCAACAAAAGAGGTCACGCTACAGACATGTGCTGGCACTGGCTGAACACCAATTACAACCCATCCGAGAGGCATACTCCGCAGAACTCAGCTCTCATTGCAACTCCAAATCAACAGCAAAACGAGTGGTACTTAGACTCGGGGGCATCGTCACACATGACATGGGAAGCTGACAATCTAGAATAAGCCTCAACATATCAAGGATCAGACTCAGTCACCATAGGGGATGGAAGAACAATTCCCATTACTCACTCGGGCATGGGTTTTCTTCCAACCCCCTCTCGTACGCTTCTTCTTTCTCAATTACTGCATATTCCATCTATTTCTCATAATCTTATCTCAATTTTTAACTTAGTCAAGGATAACAATATATCTGTCACTTTTGACTCCATGGGCTTCACCTTCAAGGACACGAAGACTCAACAAATCTTGCTCCACGGACCGTGTAGAGGAGGGCTCTATCCGATCTCTACCGACAATCCCAGCAACCAACACCATGCTCTATCTGCGTCCAGCTCGTCGTTCGTTGTCTGGCACAACAGGCTCGAGCACCCCCATACTCGCGTGCTCAAGCATATAGCTAGACACAACTCTGACCTTCATATATCTACTAGATCATTTAAATGTGTTTCATGTTTATTATGTAAAGGAAATAAGCTTATGTTTGAAAATCCAACAAACCTAAAGCTTAGGCCTCTCGAACTGATCCATTCCAATGTTTGAGGACCATCTCCGGTCCCCTCACACTAAGGACTTAGATACTACATTCTCTTTGTAGATGACTATACGCGTTTTACATGGATATTCCTATTTTGCTAAAATCTGATGTGTTTCATGTATTTCATAATTTCGTCAATTACATTGAGAAGCAAATGGATTATCAAGTTAAAGCTATACGCACATACGGCGATCGTGAGTATCTTAATCAACAGTTCTCAAGCTACCTTCAATCCAAAGGCATTCATCAACAAATCTCATGCCCATATACGCCTGAGCATAACGGTATAGCTGAACGCAAGCACAGACACAGCAAGAACCATGCTTCAAACGGCATATACGCCCCCGCAATTCTGGCCTGATGCGGTCATGACGGCGGTATACCTTATCAACAGGCTACCTTCATTGACAACCAACAACAATTCATCGTTTCAACTCTTGTTCAACAAAGCTCTGACATACAAGCACCTCCGCACGTTCGGGTGCACTTGCTACCCCCTCATCCCTAAGCACACTAGCACGAAACTTCAACCAAACACTACCCCGTGGGTTTTTCTTGGTTACTCAGACATGTACAAGGGGTACAAATGCATGAACAAAACCACTAACAAAATTATAATCTCACGCAATGTTAATTTTCTTAAAAACTCTTTTCTTTTTCAAGATGTATCTACGAACAACAAACCTCAGCAAACATCCACACCTCCATCTCTTCTCGTACCCACATCTATATTAACGCCGTATACTCAAGATATTATCACGGCACAAACCAACACTATCAGCACTCATCAGCAGACTCCGCAAATACAGATGGAAAATTCGTCTCCCGTTACAGGTCCACCGCTAAACTCTAGCCCCAGCATTCCTACAAATCTTCCCATTAAGCATCATATGCAAACCAGACTCTAAACAGGGTCGTTAATGCCTCGTACATGACTCAACCTATTTCACAATCATTATGCCAACGCTAACAATCCTGACCCTATTACAGTCAGGGAGGCATTCAAACATCCCGAATGGCGGAAAGCAATGGCAGCAGAATTCCTTGCATTACAAAAATAGGGAACATGATGCCTAGTGCCACCTCCCAAAAATGCACTTATACTGGGATGCAAATGGACTTTCCGAACAAAGCTACGCGCCGACGGCTCCATCGCCAGGTTCAAAGCTAGATTAGTGGCTCAAGGAAATCTGCAGGAACACAACATTAACTACGGTGAGACGTTCAGCCCGATGGCCAAGCTTCCAACAATTTGAGTGATGTTCAGTGTAGCTTTGCACCACGATTGGAAGGTGCACTAGATCGACGTCACAAATGCCTTCCTCCATGGCAAAATCAGTGAAATGGTGTACATGCGGCAACCGACTGGTTTTGTATGCCACACTTTTCCAAATCACGCCTGCCTTCTTAAAAAAAGGCAATCTACAGACTCAAGCAATCGCCACGCGTGTGGTACACGACATTCACAGACTACCTTCTCACAATCGGGTTCAAGCATAGCAAGGCGGATCCGTCTTTGCTTACCCTCATCGAGGCCAAAACTCAAATATACCTACTAGTCTACGTAGACGACATCTTGCTTACAGGGAACGATGGGAACGCCATTTCAGGTCTCATTCGAAAGCTGCAAACTCAATTCGACATGAAACACCTGGGCTTGGCAAATCACTTTCTGGGAATCAAAATCTCCACAACAAGATAAGTACTTCCTATCTCAACAATCATATGCACTATCTATTCTACAACAAGCTAATTTCATTGACTGCAAACCTCTTGCAAATCCATCCACTACCAAACAATCGCAAATCACTAAATCTGCATCGTCTTTGTTTGATCAGGTACAATACAGACATATAACGGGTTCACTCCAATACCTCATCCTCACACGACCTGATCTAGCGCATGCAGTCAACATGTTATCTCAATCAATGCATGATCCAGCTCCTGAGCACTCGATCCTTCTAACCAAGATCCTTCGATATTTCAAAACCACGAGTAACTATGGCATACCCATCTCCAAGTCGAATTTGCGGATGCGTGCGTTCTCAGATGTCGACTGGGCAGGAGATCCAAGTACGAGAAAATCCACGTCAGGTTTTTGCACATTCCTCGGCAACACACTCGTCTCCTGGTCTGTTAAGAAGCAATCTACGATCGCTCGATCATCCACTGAATCTGAGTACAGAGCTCTGGCAGCAGCAACCGCAAATACTATCTGGCTCAAGCATCTGCTAACCGACTTCAGCATTCACCATGATCAACCCATAGAGCTATTCTATGACAACATATCGGCGAGTACTATCGTTAACAATTGGGTATTCCACGCACGAACCAAACACATCGAAATCGATCATTGATTCGTGTGGGATCAAATTCAGAACAACCACATCAGCTCCTCCCCATTTGCACCGATGATCAAATCACGGACATCTTCACAAAATTGTTATCTACAGCAAGATTTCGGCGTCTGCGCGACAAACTGACGGTCCTCAAGGATCCATCAATTTGAGGGGGAATATTAGGATATAAGATTCAAATATATTAAGACTGCCCTTAGTTGTTAGAATATTTACCTGTATGCCATTCCCTGTACTCTGTTCTATAAATAGGATACTGTTACCGAGCTAAATCAAGAAATAAGAATTCCATTTCTATCTTCCCTGTTTCTCTATGTCTCTACATTTCTACAGTTATAGTCACATTCCTGTATTTTATTTTTTCTCCTTATTAAGAGCAGGTGGGACATAAAAGAGAAAGGGATGAACATTTCGAGATTTAGGAGCTAGAGAATGAGATTGAGCAAGAGTATGTGGATGAATGTGCGAGATTGAGAGCTTTAACTTCATTTCTCCTTGGATCTCCCTTAAAATGATGAAGATAGAGCATATATTTGATATTGGAGGCGAGAGCTAAGGTTCTTGTCACTCTTACTACAGCTTCAAGTCCTCCGCCATTTAACGTCGATAGTAAAACTGAAGCAATAGTATAAACAGGATCGAGGTTTTTGCAAGAAATATGTAGAAAGAAGATTCCAATTTGCTAAAAATAACACATTTTCTGGTGTACCTTGTCAAAATTTAAAATTATTTAAAATGCCTAGAACTCTTGTATTGATAACATACAAAACGTTACATGGTCAAAATTTAATAAACAGAAAGTCATCCCTATGTTTACGCTTTTTTTTATCCCTATGTTTACGCTATGAATTTATAATTTTAATAAAAAAAACCCAAAAAATCAATCATTATTAAAATTGAGATAAGTAGAATGTAGCCAACCCTATCAAAAAAACTTTCCGAACTACGTCTATAGTAGAAAATGGACCTAGCGGTCCTAAAACTGACTTTCTATTTCTAAATATCTTCTCTCTCTAAATGATAGCTTAAGTGGGATTTTTATTTTAGCAAAAATGGAAATGAAGTGGAAATTAATATTATGATCAAGCAGGGTTAAAATGCATATAACACGACTATAGTGGGTACTAAAATCCTTTCTCCTTAGAAAAAAAATATCATCCTTTTTATTTTAACACTCAAGTCGAGTAAATATTTTTAGGTGTATCTACCTCATCTCAAAGTCTCTCTCCCATCTAGCATATACTTCAATTTTAGGCCTCCACTACACCATGACTATTATGATGTGCTTATTTCTCACTTTCATGACATCATATGACAAACTTTTTATAAAGGCCATTTTTCTCCCAGGATCGTCCGGGACAAAGTTGGATCATCCCGGGACAATCGGTACAGGTTGTGCGGGAAATGTTTCTGGTTGCATGGTTTGTCTGGACGAAATTTGGATCGTCTGGACGAAAATTTTACAGAGCCAAGTCATCCAGGGACGTTAATTAATCTCGTCTGGACGAAATTCGTCCAGAGCCAAATCGTCCCGGGACAAAGTTGCGATCGTCCGGGACGATCCGTGTGGATATATATAGAAATGAGATATTTTGAAGAGAGAGAAAAGCCCAGGAGAGAGAAAATCGAAGGAAAAAGAAGAAAAAGTGTTTTTTGGTTACTCCGGTCCTTTTTCGTCCGTTGCTGTAGTTAAAGAAGTTGACCAACTCGAGGTAAGGCACATTCCGACTTTCTCAATTTTCAGAAACGAGGATTTTGACGAGTTTTCTGTTTTGAATTTTATTTCCGTTAGCAAATTTCAGGTATTATTTTTGTTTGACAAAGGTTTTACCGCGTAACTTTTGGTATGTCTTTGAGTATTTTCTGGAAGATTTTTACCGGATATTTTGGATTCTGCAGTGTTTTAAGCAAACTGCAAATTATTAGGATGTTTAAAAATGTTTTGTCAGTACAATGAAAGTCTTATAATGTTGTTGTGAATGTTCTGTGATAATTTGGTAAATTTCTGAATCTGTGAATTATGTGTAAATTCCATATATTGTCGTTATGCCGCTGAATTTTCTTACGATTTTTGAATTTTCTGAAATGAGATGATTGAATGAATTGATTATTTGTATGCTATCGGAAGGGAGTTATAAGGGGCCGGAATCCTATGTGATTCCGTTGTCTGGGTCAGGGAATTCTGAATTCTGAAATGAGCTCTGAAATCTGAAAATAAGTTCTGTTTCGGAACCTCTGATATCTATTCTATTTTATTCTGGTGCTATAAGCACAACGGGAGACATAAGGGGTTAGAATCCGTTGAGATTCTGTCTGTGTCAGGGAAGGGAGGCATAAGGGGCCAGAATCTATTGAGATTCTGTCTGTGTCAGGGATATCTGAAATCTATTGTTTGATATTTGATAATATGTTCTGTGACTTATCTGATCTGTTTTATGAATTATATGGTTCGAATTATCTGATATGAATATGAATTTATCTGAATTCTGATTTTTGTACGATTCTGATTATTCCGTACGATTCTGTCTACTCTGTGACTTACAAATGCTTTATGATATCCGTTCTGAACTCTGATTCGAAATGATTTCAGTTTTCTGTATCCGTAAGCTAATGTATGATTGATTAAGTATATGTTCTGTCTATTGCATGATTTCTGTGCGATTGTTCGAATTCCGTACTGATACGATTTTTGTTGTGAGTTTCTGATGATTTTGATTAATGATTGATGTCTTGCTGAGCTGTTAGCTCATCCTTGTTTTCTATGTGGTTTTTCAGGTTCTGGAAAATGGAAGGAAGTCGTGGATTAGCGGTCCAGAGTCTGATTTGTGATTAGGTATTTTGTACTTTTGATTTTTGTACAGTCATGACTTTTCTGTTCTATTATGTTCTTTGTGTCCACAAGCCATGTACTGTACCTGTATATGATTATTTTGGTGAAAGAAAAGATAGATGAACTGCGCTACATTTGAATATTTTTAGTAGCTCTGTGTTTTTTTGTTTGTGTTATGTTTGGAAGAAAGTTTTGAAGCAAATTCCAAAGCCAGATTCTGGATTTGTTGGCTCTGTCGCTGCCCGATGCGAGCGGGATCCGTCCCGGTCAGTTTGGGTCGTGACACTTTTTCTGGTTCTTCTCTATAGCTTAAATCTTTATATACCTCAACCTCATCTACATATATTCATTTTCGAGAGTCGGATATCCATTTCCTTAATTAATATTCTATTTCTAGCGAGAAATTATTCTCTGCGGAGTTCGGACGTAGCACTCCATTTGGACTCAAATTAAATTTTGACACGTGTAGTAGACACCTGGATATTCAATTAGCTTTTATTTTTTATTTATGTCTTATCAACCTGACCAACCCAACCCGACCAAAACATGAAAATTTTGAATTCTCACGAGTTTAAAAGCTCAGGGCTAGGTAATTTTGCTTTTCATCCGGGTATTTCATGTTGCAACTCGGGCTTCCAAGTTTATGATTTTGATGATGACAAATAATATTTATTAATCTTTTATTTCTCCTAGTATTTGCAGTGCATATGTCTTTCTATGTTGACTAATATTTCAGGTACATCATGCACCGTTCTTTGAAGATTCAAGGCTCAAGATTGCATAGAATTGGTCGTATTAAATGAGTCTGTAATTTTCATTTATTGAGTCAAGTCTTGTAATGATGTATGTTAGTTTGTTGATCATGCACACACATAAAGGGAGCAAAAAATGATTATAAATATTTTAACTTTTCTGTTCATCGTACTGTACGAATTTATTTCATACTATACGATCTGGTGTAACAGAAATAAATTAAAATATTTTATTTTTCCTGGAAAAATTATTTTTGAATATAACTAATCGTACTGTACGATCACCACATCGTACTGCACGATCTGTTATAATTAGAAAGATCGTCGTCCATTAAATTAGGCAAAGATTTGAATTTGAAAAGTTGTTCGAATCGTACTGTACGATCCTAATCGTACTGTACGATGTTTAAACATTGCCTAATTTAATCCGCTGATTATTCAATCAAAACGGCTTAATTTTGATGTGTTGATCGTACTGTCCTAACTGTATCGTACTATACGATCAACAGAGACAATTTTGGCAAACTGCCCGTTTATTGAACTGTTCGTATAGCACTTTCGTACAGGATATCGTACAGTACTAACTTCAACTGAACTGTTTGTACAGTACTAACTGGACATCGTACAATACTAACAGGTCAATTTCTGCACATCGTATTGGACGATCTTGCGATCGTACGGTACGATATTTGACGGCTGAATTGAGTATTTTTAGGGTTTTTTGAGCCCTCTATTTAAGCACTCTCATAAGACTTTGTAAGAGTCTTTGACAGCCATTGTGTCTTTGTTCTTTTGGAGAAAACTTGAAGAGAGGACTTGAAAGGGAGAGAGAAAAGGGTGAAGTTTGAGAGAGGGAGAAGATCCTTGGAAGGGGTTTCAAGGGAGTGTGAAGGAGATCACACGGTTGCTCCGGCGAGCTTGCACCTCAGTACCATCAGATTCAAGGTTCGTCTTGAATGAAGTTTTGGGAAGAAGAAGATCTCATTGGTGTCAAAGGACCCGACTCCTCCGCTGCACCAGGGAAGGTGGAAGTGATTGTGTAAGGGGTTCTCCGCCTAGCTGTGGGAGCTAAAGGAGAATCACTAAAGGTTTAGTGTAATACTCGGAGGGTGCCTCCGGGGAGTGGACGTAGGTCATGGTTTGACCGAACCACTATAAATTGGTGTGTTCTTTCCTTTATTTTTTCTGCACTTTATTTCCGCATTTATTTTTATTGTGGTTAATTGCGTGGATGAATTTGATTATCTATCTTTTTATTGTGAATGAAATTCGCTTCCGCATAAAGTCATAAAAAGAGATTTCTTTTCATTAAAGAAGTTTTTAATCATCCAATTCATCCCCCTCTTGGCGCATCTAGTAATTTCATTTCACTCCTCGCTTTCTCTCTTGTTCAGTATTCCATATGCTTCACTGCATTCCTTCGGCATTTTGGTCGCATAAAGTTTTATTCGCCACATGTAAACGTGCAAAAATTTGTTGCGTCTGTTTAAGCACTTTTTTTACATATTCATATGTATCCATACCATACTGAGTTCTTCTATTTGAAAACTAAATTTTTTGTGTTTGATTTCAATTTTTGAGTTAATTTTATTCATTTAGCCTCATTTTAATTGCACTTTAACTATGCTTTTCCTGTGCATTTTCTTTATATTCACTATATTTTTGAAGTTCTTTTAAGCTTTTGTTAATTTATTTCTCAATTTGGAAAATGAACTAATATTTGTTCTTTATTTTATTCAGATTAAAACTATATATGAGGACGCAAAAAGATCGTTTGTGACCAATATAACAAAATGAAATACCCAAAGTGTCAGTGGAATTTTCAATACTGCATTCTTTTTTTAATGTAGCAAAAGCGCAGTGAAATTGCAACAAAAGTGCAGTGAAAATGCAATAAATTATAGTATATTGTATTATTTTTCAAAAAATATTTGTTATAAATTTATTTCATAGGGAAACTACTTATAGTAACATGATCTGAACTAAAAGAATTTGATTGTCATAGAAAATTTTAAACTATGCAATCTAGAATTAAAAATTAAACTGACCTAGTCGAAAACAATGAAAAGCATAGCAAAAGTATAGTGAAAGTGCATCAAAAGCAACGTGAAGGCCAATGAATTATATATTAATTTTCATTTTCTATTAAATTTTTCTTATGAATTAAACTCGTAGTGAAATTAAATAATTATAGTAAATAATCTAAACTTAAAAAATTGAAAATTAAATTTGTCAATTGTTTAAACCATTCATTAAGCAACAAAAGCGTAACAAAAGGCCGGCAGCCAAATGACAGCAAAAGTGTAAGCATAACAAAAGTGCAGTAAAAGAGCTATAAAAACGCTGCAAAAGCACAATGAATTACACATTATAAATTTCTAGAAAAATTTTCTTACATATTTAATTCATAGTGAATACATTATATTTATATGATCTGAACTAATAAAATATGATTATGATGGATAATTTCAAACTATAAAATTAATTTTTAAAAATAAAGTTCATAATAGATAAAACAATTAAAAAGGGCAGCAAAATGAAAGCGCAGCAAAATGGTACACTACCAAAAAACTAAAGTTTTCGCAGCCTTTAATAGCAGCGGTCAGAAAATCAGTGCAGAATGTCTTTGGAGCGTATTATAATCACGGCAGATAAACCACTGCAAAAATATTTGAGGAGGGAAAAACCGCCAGGAAAGTTTAAAATTTGTGTTGCGAAGGCCAGATTTTTTGGTAGTGGTAGCAAAATCGCAGTGAAAGAGCAGCAAAATCACAGTAAATTAAATTCCTAGAAAACTTTTCTTACAAATTTAATTCATAGTGAAAATACTTATAGTTACATGATCTGAACTAATAAAATATGATTATGATAGATAATTTCAAACTATATAATCTAGTTTTAAAAATTAAGTTTATGATGGTCAAAATAATTAATTACAAAGTAAAAGTTTAGCAAAAGAGCAACAAAAGTGAAAGCGCATCTAAAGGGCAGCAAAAGCAAAGTAAAAACAGAGTGAATTACACATTGTAATATTTAGAAATATTTTCCTATAAATTTAATTCATTTTAAAAATATTTATTGTTACATGATCTGAACAAATAAAATATGATTGTAATAGATAAATTCAAACTATACAATCTAGTTTTGAAAATTAAATTTATGATGGCTAAAATAATTGATTACAAAGTAAAAGTGCAACAAAAGGGTGGTAAAGTGAAAGTGCAGCAAAATGACACCAAAAGCGTAGTGAATTACACATTATAATTTCTAAAAAAAAATCTTATAAATTTAATTCATAGTGAAGTACTTATAGTTAAATGATCAAAACTGATAAAATATAATTATGATGGATAATTATTTCAAACTATATAATATAGTTTTGAAAATTAAGTTTATGATGATCAAAATAATTTATTACAAAGCAAAAGCGTAATAAAAAGACATCAAAAGTGAAAGTGCAATAAAAGAGTTGCAAAAGTGCAGTGAAAGTATAGCAAAGGCACAATGAATTACACATTGTAATTTCTAAAAAAGTTTCCTTATAAATTTAATTTATAGTGGAAACACTTATAGTAACATGATCTAAACTAATATAATGTGATTATGATAAATAGTTTCAAACTATGCACTCTAGTTTTGAAAATTAAGTTTACGATGGCTAAAATAATTAATTACAAAGCAATAGCACAACAGAAGGGCAGCAAAAGTGAAAGTGTAACAAAAGGCCAGCAAAAGTGCAATAAAAGCACAACAAAAACATAATATATTATACATTATAAATCTCTCGAACATTTTTCTTACAAGTTTAATTCACAGTGGAAACACTTAGAGTATCATGATATGAACAAATGTAATGTGATTATGATAGATAGTTTCAAACTATAAAATCTAGTTTTGAAACTTAAGTTCATGAAGGTCACTGTATTTTTGTTGTGCTTTTACTACTCTTTGATGCACTTTCACTTTACTTTTGATGCACTATCACTATGCAGCTAAAGCATAGTGAATTTAACAATATATTATCTTATAAATTTAATTTAATTGTAATTCCATCTGAGAATTAAATGCAAATTGATTATTAGACCATGAACAATTTTTTTAATAAACTGTTGACAAAGAGAAAAAATAAATCACTATCCAGAACATACAAACGAACACATACAAAAAATAAGCAGAATTCCAAATTTTCTCTTAAAATCTATACAAAAATAAACATAGATTCCTTCAAGCTGCAGCTCTTTCAACTT